CCTAATGTCTTTGCAAAAATATTGTAATTAATTTAGGAAGGGGAAATCAAGATGATAGTAAAAGCATATATTTATCACCGGCCCAAATCACTTGAATTAACCCAGTTTAAAAATACCAACATGAGAAAGTCTATTGAAAATTTTTTATTTTTAAATTTTTTTCATTTCATTGAATAGAACTTTTTACTCTATGCGCAAGGACACAAAAAGTGCATTTATTACATATTTTAATACAAAATATAAAAGTAGATTTTAATTTGACAAAATCCTATGTTAATCTCTCAAATTTATTCTAGATTTTTTATTAAACCCTTAAATTTTTATTGAAGTAAATGAACCTTTGAATTTAGTAACTTAGGTAATTTAAGTATCTCTCTCTCTCTTTTTTTTTTTTTTATAGCATACTTAACGCTCATTTGTGCTTTATTTTCGTAAATAATGTTAATACTTTATTCGTAGGTAATGATATGTCAATAACTTATTTATGCAAGAGAGACACAAATAGACTTTAAATTTATTGTAAAGAAAATGGTTAAAGTGCTCAAATTGACATTGTCACTCCCCCTTATCTTCTCCTTTACCTCACAAGATTCTCCCAAATCCTCCTTTTCCAATCCGTGACAACAACGGCTTCACTCCTCTCAAATGCCACCATCTTCTTATTCTCATCCCTTCCCTCGCCATTCCCCTATTTACTTCCTCTCAGATCCCTTTAAAAAGTCCCTTCATAAGTGTGTTATCACCGTTCAATCAAACATAAAAGAGATCTCCATGCCCAACCTCAGATCCACCATGGCTGAGGGCAATGGAGAGAGAAATCCAAAGGCAATAAGCTGTTTTCTAGGTGCCACAATTGGCATTCTCAGTAAGAGACATAGGAAAAGTAATGTTGGTTTGTAGATGAAAGAGAAGATGAAAAAGGAAAAATGAATTTCAATTGTAAAATAGAAGAGAGAAGACAAAAGAAGTAAAACAAATTTGAGTCATTGAAGAGATAAAAGTGAAATGGAGAAAAAATGAATTTCAAACAAAAAACAGCTGAGAAAAAACGAGGCAGATGAATAAGTGGGAGTAGTAAGGGCATTTTAAGAGAACAGGGTAAATTTGGAAAACAAACATAATTAATGTAACATTGATATGCCAAGACGTCAATTATTTAGAAATAAAATTTTTCCTCTACAACAACTAATAATATGGAACAGAGGGAGTATATTATTGTTATTATTATTATTTACTTACTTTAATTTTTCTATCTACTTAATTTTATTCAATTAAAAATATGCAAGAAATAAGAAATTTACTCTTTTGCAGAAAAAAATGCTAAGCAAGTATAGGTTGGTCAGGATTCATTTCTTCATCACCAAAAAATTTCCTGGAATATTGTTAATAAAAACTATACTTTTAGACAAGAGAATTCTAAAATTACAATTTTATTTCTCATCTATTCATTCAAGTAATAAGGAGGGTTCATAAACTCTATTACATAAGAGGATGCTTTTCTAGTTATAAAGCTTCGGACGATGCAATTCTACCACTCCTCTGTTAATTCATTCCCCTCTAAATAGGAATCCTGCAAGTTTCAAATAATAAAACAATTTAAGCAAAAGATGCATAGTTCTCAATAAAATCAAAATTTTTTAAAAAAAGTACTAATTAATTAATCAGTCAATTATATTTGAAAATTAGAGAGTACGAATAGCAAATTAATTAGTTCACTAATTAACAACATGCTAACATACTAAATCAAAAATGTTAAATTCAAATTGTAGTTCCTTTATATCAAATTTAGAAACAACTAAAATCGGAAAAAGGAATGGATTACGTATCACAGTCAATGTCCGGGTCGATGGGCACCCGAATTTGAACACCACACTTTTGAGGCAACTCCTTAGCTCTTTCTGGGATGACCCCAAAGCCAGGGGCAGCATCCCTCAAACAATGACAAAGGTCCCGACGATCTTTGGTTGTAGAAGCTTCATGATTCAGGTTAGACAGGCCTACGCAGCAAAGAACACTTGGGAATCGCGAACCACCCGTCAAGAAGGGCTTGCAACGCGTCAATGTGACTATGGCATCGAAACACGATATAGTAGCATGCACGCAGCGGCTACCCACCATGGCCAAAATGATCCCTAGCCCAAGAATCCATAAAAACCAAGACCCACATCCCATCATTTTCCTCTCCATTTTTCTTCTCTCAAACTATTGCTGTATGCTAGAAATTACTGTAACAAGAGGTATAGAATTTGCTTCTGTGGAGCAATTGGGTTTGCCTTGAAAACAATTTATAGGGATTTCCACCAAAGCTAATCAATGATTCATTAATATTTATAGTTGTAACCTTCCATTTCTGGATATGTACATACCAGATAGGGATGTCAACGGGGCCCCGTGGGGAATGGGGATCCCTGCGAGGATCCCCATTCCCCACCAATTAATAACAAAGTATATATTTTTTGCATCAAACATAAATAAAAATTAATTTAACACAAATAATTAAATCAATAAAATTGTTCCAAATAGTGTTGGATTATTCTGATGGTACTAAAAAGACAAAGAATATAAAAACTAAAGAGTATAAATACATGATGATGAAGGGCATCTGGCATGCAATATTCTTCAAAATGGACTAGGAAAACTACAATAAACCCAAGACAGTAGAAAAAGAGAAAAGAACTCGTTACTTCAAAATGTAACATCCCTAAAGGCTAAAGTATGTATGAAGTTATGAACAGAAAAAACGAAACCTTAATCTGTCCGCAAAACCCTTAATTAACTTTCCCAACCCTAAAAATGGCACTACAAGATTACTACTAAACATCATGCTTTCAAATCAACCCAAGATGTAATGCAAATTGCAGAATTAAGGAAATCAATTGAGGAAATTGAAAAAGAAGGAAAAAAAATTGCTTTATGTTGGATTAAAGCAACATGTTCCAAACATTAATTGTTCTAAATATACATAGAAATTAATCCAATATAAAGTAACATACTTGTTCCAAATATAAGCAAAAATCAACCCAACATAAATAAAATAACTAAACTAAACCAACATTCAGCATGAAGGGAAGTAGCCAAGAACCAACTCAAAATACTTTAGCTCTCAAAATCCACAATTGCTCATTAAAAGACCTACAATACAATTAGTAAATACAATTAGTAAATACTTTATGGTAACACATTTATAAAAAAAACTATTTATATTATTAGTATAAAAAAGAGTCATGCATATTTACCTCTGAATTATTGTCTTCATCACAATCCACATCCTCATTTTGAGTAAAGAAACATATATCATCCAAAGAACCTATTTCAAATATGAAAATTT